CTTAAGATTATTTAGTCTCTATTGACATACGGTTGGCTAATCTCTCTCCTGGTAGAAAGAGGCGATGCAGTCTATAATGAAGCACGCTTGCCCGGAGAGATAAAGAAACAATTTCATATTGCCAATACAACTTACAATCGCATACAACTACACACTTAACACATTCAGTGCCCCCGACGCGTATGTGCGTGCGAGGAAACGCACATACGCGTCGGGGGCACTGAATGTGTTAAAGGTAAAAAAGTTAAAGAGTTTTACACCTTGATATGTTGCATATAAATACTAAGTTTCATTACTTACAAAATTGGTTTAATAGTTTTCATAAGTTTGATTTGCGAATGTGTATATATAGATAGAAACCCATGGTTTTTTTGTGAGAGGAAATTCATCAAATGACTTCTCCCGCCCAGGGTGGGGCGGGAGGGAGTGTCAGACTCTTACTGACTAAAAACCCCCCTGTTCCTTCTCCTACTCTGGGCCGAGGTCGCGGTGCCTCATTGCGCTTACCCCGCAACCCCGGCTGAACATCAGCCCTATAGGGCCCCGTCTGTGGTGGTCTATTGGCTCTTTGAGGCGCGCGCGGAACGCTACGCGCCGTTCGCTCGCATGGTGCGATAATGACCTTAACCATAAATCGGCTTTCGGTCTCCTCCTTGTAACCTTCGTAATCAATTATAGGTTCGGTTTATTATGGGGTTGTCCTATTCAAAATGTAAGACCCGCATGAGATAATACATATTTATTTATTTATTTATCACCAACATACAACTATTATCACAGGAGTTTCCTAATACAATAGTGTAGTAACATTATAAAGAAATACATAAAATCAAAAACAATACAAAGAAACCTTACATACTAATTATAAAATAAAATTACATAAACTTTCCTATATTTAACAACTTAATCTACCATGGAAGTTATTCTATATGCGGTCCGAGTGAATTCATTCATAGTGCAGTGAAACAAATCTATATGTTGCGACATGGCGTTGAGCGCACGCAGCGCCCGCGTGAGCGGCGCGTGCTGCAGCAAGCCCGTGCGCGCGCGCGGCACCCACAGCAGCGGCGTCCTGCGCCGGCGCCCCACGTACCCGTCCGGAACACACAACCCTATTGTGGCCAGAACTTCTGGAACCTCTTAATAATTTCCATAAATATACAGTGAGAGCTACTTCCCTTCTTACCTCAAGTTTATAATAACCTGTCATACCTAATACAAAAAGAGTAGGATATAGCAGGGGATATCCCGGGTACACACCATACTGTTTTGAATATAAAAATCTAATAAATTTGTTGTGTATACGCTCTAACATTATTCTATATTTGGCTTCATGGGGCGACCAAACTATGGCATTGCATTCTAAATGGCTTTTAACTAGTGCTTCATACAGTGATCTTAGTGCATGGAAGTTAGAAAATTGATTTGCTAACCGTAGAACCATTCCTAAATTACGGTACGCTTTCTTACAAACCTCAGCAACAATGTTTCTTCAAAGTGACATCGGCAGCAAAGCGCACACCGAGGTCCCTGACTTCCGAGACACGCTGGAGTGGCGTTCCTCCCATGTAGTACTGATGATGACTGGGGCTATGCGCACGACTGAATGACAGCACAGAACATTTACTTACATTGAAGTACAATTTATTATCAAGACTCCACTCCAATATATTGTTTATGTCGTGCTGCAGAATGTTATGATCTGTGGCCTGCTTCACTTCAACAATCAATTTCAAGTCGTCAGCAAACAACAAAGGTGTACCTATTGACTACTTTCGGCAAGTCATTAACTGTTAAATTGAATAGAAGAGGACCCAAATTGCTACCTTGATTCACGCCTGATCTAGTAAAATAAGGTTCAGAAAGCCGTCCTCCACAGTCTATATACTGACATCGATCCCGCAAATAGCTGGCGAAAAATGAATATGTACATATGTACAAAATGTACGAAAACAATTTCCCTAGCCATATTTTTGAGAAACATTGTAAATGTAATTTGCAATAATTTTCTATGTAGATAGATTTATATAAATTTTATCATTTTTATTAAAGTGTAAAAATGAAATTGCTGCAGCAGTTCCGTGACAAAGATAGTTTGAGTTAAAATTTACCTCGTTGTCTTACAAAGTTTTTACTATGTCATTTTTGTCAGTGACTTCGCCTATGTTATTAGAATATCTTTTGACTAGTTTTTACGTGATAAGAGTAATAGACATTCATCGATAAGTACTTAAAAAGTTTCAGGTTGATATTCGTTCATATTCATGAGCATGTGTAAATTTTAAACAACGAAACCATAAATTTATTTTTGTATATAGGCTATAAAATATTTAATTGCAAAATGTCGATGAAGCCGGCACTTCTTACCTGACTACCTACTCTGAGAAGTACCTTAGTTTTTACAGTACTCAGTACTCAGAGATCAATGTCGCTCTAGTATCGAATAGTGACTTCTGCAGATTTTTGGTTTAAAAAACTATCCTATGTCCTTTCTTGAGTTCCAAACTAGGTATGTCTGTACCAAATTTCGCACAAACAGGTTCAGTAGTTTAGGCGTGAAGAAAAGACAGACAGACAGATAGAGTGACTTTCGCATTTATAATATTAGTTTGGATATGTTGCGATTTTTATAGTAATACAACACTACACTATGAACAAAAAACAATATTATAAAAATATGTTAATATGAGATATGTGTGGAAATGATCACATATCTGCTGTTACAACTTTTTCAATCGTCGGGTATTAGTCTATGAATTGAATTATTAAAATTAATTATTTCTATTCTCTTTTCTATAAATTCTAGAAGATTATTTAGTCACAAATGATATACATTTTAACATTTGGCTACTTTCTCAGCTGATTAAAAGTGCTAATATAGCCTATAATATAATGAATCAAGCCTTTTTTTATCAGGGGAGAATGATCAAATGGCTTCTCCCGCACAGGGTAAGGCGAGAGAGAGTGTCAAACTCTTACTGACTAAAAATTCCTCCGTTCCTTCTCCTGCTCTGGGCCGAGGCCGCGGCGACTCATTGCGCTTAACCCACAACAATGAATCACACCTGCCCGACAGAAAAACCATTATAAACTTTTCAAAAATTTAACGCATTTCAAACCTTGAGGTTTTACATATAAATACTAAGTTGCACATACAGTCAACACTAGTTGCTTACTATTACAAACTTAATATTATTTATGCATTTTAAAATCTTACCTTTTTCGTCGTTTACTCGTCGATCATTTCGGGTAGTGTACTAGTATTTGTTCTTGAAATTTAAAAAATCTGAGTGCACGGTTGTTGCCTGTAATTTTAGTATTATTACTTTCCTCTATAGTTGGTGCGGTAGCTGGGCCACTGGCTGCCGTGCACGTGTTGTAGGTTTGATTTCCGCACGGAACAACTCTTTGTGTGATCAACAAATTGTTGTTGCGGGTCTGGGTGTAATGTTTATGTCAAATTGTATGTTTCCAACCGTGCCCACGACACAGGAGAAAATCCTAAAGTGGGACAAAGTTTTTTTATAAAATAAATAATAATAAACAAATCATAAATTAAATAAACTCGTAATCTAACTTTTAATAAAAATAATAAAACTATCCTGAAGTAAAAATATAGATTAACAAAATGAAAACGAAGATACTTAAGAAATATCAATTTCATTCATTCTTCGATGAAATGAGTTTAAACATTGGCATGCAGAACTTGTACTCAATTTAAGATATTCAATCTTCAAAACGTAATATTATTTCAAAGAAAACATAAATTCTCTCTCGCTTGAAAGCCATTTTACTTAAACCATAAAATTCTAAAGAAAGTCTAGAAATAAATTTGAAAATTGCAGTGAATGGTAAGTTGAGTGAATTTCGTTTCTACAAATTTGTGACAAGTGGTTTAAAAATTTTCTCATGCAAGGTAGGAATTAGACTTTTAATTTACCTATGCAACACAGACAAATAGGTGAGCTGTATAGGCCGCCTATCGTGCGCAGTCGAACGTTTACGTTTATTTTATTTTAGTAATATACTTAAACTTTGCCCCCCACTGTCTTTAAACTTTTCTCCTGTGTCGTGCATGAGCTTACTAACATACAATTTCACAAACACCATTACACCGAGACTCGAAACAACAATTCGTGACACAAAGAGTTGTCCCATACGGGAATCGAACTCACGACACACTCGCGCAACCACCGCAATAACAGCAAGTCAATTTATTTCATAATATCAATATTATTTATGTACATTATCAATAGAAATAATTATCAAACTAGACATTAGACATAGATATAGATTATGTCATCCATTATTAAGATTGGCAAAGGCACACAAGTCGTTGGTAGGATTCTGTATTAAATATTCTAACCCATTCCAGGTTAAATACAAAGATTAAAAGAAAGAGGTTTTAAATTATGTATAAAGAAAACATTATATAGACAAGCATACTATTAACGGAATGAACTTATTGAGGATAAAAATGGTTGAAAACGAGCTGGACCTGCTCCACGGGGCTTTTAGGATGTTTCAGTAGATTTTTGTTCAAACGTTAATTGAAAAAGAGTAACCATGGACTTTCATGCTTGTTCTTCTCAATCGGAATCTACACTTTGGAACGAGCAAATGGCTTCACTTATAGGACTGATCATTAATTTTTGTCTCATTGAAAAAAATGTTTTTAATTTGATTTTATCAAAACACACGATTTCAAATGTACTCACTACACCAGTTGCTTAATCACACTTTTTACCAGTCCCATGTAATTTAATTCTTGAATTTCAATCAATTAATTAATCAATCATAAATTAAATAAAGTCATAACCAAACTTTTTAGATCACGCCTGTAACTAAGCCTACCAAAAACCATTAGCATCCCAAAAAAAAGGATGACACGTCAAACAATAATAACAAGTTGTCAGTTATCAATCAAATATGCGATAAATGTAACAAAAAAAAATATTCAAAATTATAATCAGTAAAAATTGTTTAAAATTACAAGTGAAATGCCCAACACGAGGCGTCGGAGGTTTTCTGTACAAAATGAGATCGCCCGCAGAGAAAGCAAATCACAAAATGGTTTATCAACCAGGTATATGAACAACTTCTTAATTACAGAAGGACTTTCATTGAGGCTAAGTTATAGACTAATATTCACCAAAATCTATACAATACTTCACTATTCGTTAACAACTATATTATCTTCCTTACGGGCCACTTCATCAATGCAAGTCCTTAAACCTCCTTTCTTCCTAAATTGCCGGTGGTTAGAAACAGCTGATCCAAATAGATTATTCGTCTATTCAGCGAGTTTTGTTTGTACCCGGAGCCGAACCTAACAACTTGGGATGAAGTTGGAATGAAGATGTCACTGTTCGGATTTCTCAATTGGATCAGCTATGTGATGCATGTTGTTCATATAAATAAAAATATAAAGTGGGTATATGTTTTGACAAAAACCTTCTTAATATTATATTTATAAGCTGGGTTCCTGAATACCTTTTTTACGTTTTAACGATAAAATTAAATGTTTAGAAGTCTTTTAAAATTATTTTTTCGTATGTTAGAAACATTCTGTAATCTCTGATCTTTACCTGACATAAAATTTAAAATACGTTCCATCAAAAATACATTCAGTAGGTACCATGTTTTATACCCATTTAAGAATTTACCGTATCGATTTTATACGTTACAAGCTCAAAAGTAAAGCAAGTCATTCTTCGAAAATCATTTTATCATCCCATACTTACGAACTTATTCTATTAAACAGACATTTTGTGTGTTTTCAGTCACTCCGACCCCGATTCAGAAATAGATATGGTAGCCACGAACATAGTTACAAGAAAATCACCGAGACATAAAAACAAATTTTATGCGAACGATTCTAAAAGTTCAACTTTAGAGATTGTGGCAGAATGCGAAAGTAATATATCATTGAGTACGGCCAAAAAACGATCAATCATGACTATGGACAAAGCGGTATATGCAAGCTCGAGTACTCTCTTAAATTCAGGGACTGCCACTGAAGAGTGCAATCTTTCAAGTGCTAATCGATTGAAAACAGTAGCAACGACGATTGAAGCACAGAAGAAAAGTAATGAGAGGCAATCTTCTAGGAGAGACAAGCACCCAAGACAGCATCGCGTTAAAGTTAGAAGTCCTAAACGTCGTGTTCCCATCATAGAACAACAGAATAAAGCAGTAGACAGTAATAAACGATCAGCAGGAACAACGGCAATCGACTGGGATATAGAACTTGAAGTATGTGGCTCAAACAACGTGACAAACATAATTGATACTTACGAAGAAGTCGAGAGAACAAGTAATCATTCATCAGATGACATGTGTCGTATCTGCCATGGCGGGGAGTCATTATCACCAGAACTCGGACGTTTGATATCTGCGTGTTCCTGTCGAGGAACCGTTGGTAGGGTCCATGTTAAATGTTTGGAGCGATGGTTGACCGAATCGGGGAAATCTCGATGCGAATTGTGTGGGACCCGGTATGCGACCAGACGCGTGCATAGGTATGGCGTTCCGAGAGCGTTAGTTATGTGGGTGCTGAGCCAAAATGCTAAACAGGTATGATCCATTAAAAGTGTATTCCCCTTTTCTACTTTGAATAAGCTCATTATATTTAAGGCCATTATCACAAGGTAATGTTAAATTGGAAAGTGATAAAACATATAAACATAGCGCCTCGATACCATCTTCAATCAACAAATTATATAGTTAAATAAAGAAACACGTTGACCCTACTATTATAATAAGCATTTGTACCTATAACATTTCGTGTTAAATTTCGATTTTACAGCTTCAACCAGCCAAATCCCACATGAATGCGTCTAAAGCGGGCCTAATGTTTATAGCAAAAAGCCACGCGAAGTTGTTTGTATTTTTACATTAGGGTCATTAACTGTATTCCTAATTATGTTTTTTAATAATACATTCGTTTCAGAATTTATATTATGTATAACTTTTATTACCTCATTAATTGTTAGGTAGGTTCAAAGTTATACGCTTGACCACAAATTGTAAACAAATTAGTCTACAAAATTCCAACGCTTTAGCCTAATCTACTACACAATTTTAATCAAGAGCTTTACAGAAACCTAGTTCAATTCTAGTGGAGGTATTCGATGTGTTTGGAAGTTTTGTATTTCTAAGTTGTTTCAACAGATACAGATACAAATATAACCACAAATTCTGTGTTCAATAATATATTTTGACACTCTTTTTTTAATTATATAAAGTATTTATGAAGCTACTGTGGAAAACCTTAAATCTTTATCTTCAACCGAAGATATGGGTCATGCACAATATTACACCTCGGCCTGGAGCGGGAAAGAGGACGGAGCATTTTTTTTTGTCAGTAAGAGTCTTATACTCCCTTTTATCTCACCCTGGGCAAGAGAAGGAAGTTGATGAGTTTGCCTCCTTAAAAAAAAACTTTTACCTTAGTTTTTTTACCGACTATACACTGTTGTACTAGAAATTATACTTAAGTACGTACATATTAAAGTCATGATTCAATTGTTCCAGTTATTGGTGGACAGTCTTGGGATTATGCTGATGTCACCTCTCGCAGTGCTGGCAGCGTGGCTGTCAGGACGCACCCTGGCTGGTCTGATGACACAAGAAGGTCACGTGACGCCTTGGCCACTAGCCTCGACCTTTGTCCTAGCCTGTATGACCCTAGTAAGTTGAGTTTACATATTATTTTTCAATAATTTCCAGTTTACGAAAATAAATTAAGACTAGAATTATGTATTATGAATTTGTTCTAAGATTATAAGATTCTAAGATTTTAGTCGTAATAGTTGCCGGTATCATTTGATGCTGAAACTTTAAAATAAAGAAAAATATGTTGAAATTTTGTACAAGATGCATCATGGATAAACTTAATAAGTATTTGCACAGTCATCTGTGTATCTAAAAGTGAGCTCTAAAGCTAACTAGAATACGTATGTATTTGTCTAAAATATGATCACATTTTCGAGCACCTTTGCTCTCTCGTTTTGCATATTATTGTGTGTTTAAACTGTCAAATTGTTTTCAAGATAAACATAGGAATAGTTATGCCACAACACGCTCAAACTATCTCCCGGTCACCGCAACCTCACAACTATCTGTCAATGACTTGACCGCCACCATATTTGTTTTTAGTGCCTAAATTATCGAGAGTGGATTGTAAGCCGGCAACGCGCCGCGTACGTCTGGGACGGCGATATGAACATGGTGATGGTTTGATTTTGTTTGTTGGCTTCTACGTAATAGGTAACTACTAGGAACACGTGTGGGAGAGTCATGTTTCAACTTGAATGGATCGGCTCGACCGACGACCACGGCCTCAAAGAAAACCGGCGTGAAACAACCATAAATGTTGTATTTCGCCGTCTAAGTGAGGTTCCCGGAGGCCCAATACTTCCGCTCCCCCTCCCCCTACCGCTCGCCCTCCCTAATCCCTTAATTCCCAAAAGGTGTATGGTTGCGGGTGTCATTGGGCGGTGCTGACTGCTTACCATCAGGTAAATCCATGTGCTCGTTTGCCATCTTATATATATAAAAAAATAATATATGAAATAAAATAAAATAAAAAAAAACGCGGATGGTGCGGTGGCATACGGAGACAATGACGACGTTTCGTTATGTTCTCAAGGAATTGATTCGAGAAAAGTGTCCAATGGATATTAGTATTTAAGGATTATACATTTAGGGATTTAGGATAGGGAAGGAAAAGACTGGGCCTCTAATAACTTCACTCACGTGGTAAAATGAGTTAACAAATATCTTTACATTGTATTCCAGGTGTGTTACTACTGCTGGATAGTCTCAGCAGCGACCCGCCATGCTCTCGGCTGGTGGATATGGTACAGGTCCCAGTACGAAGTCAGGCTCCAAATTCAAGAAAACGAAGATTGATTCTGACACAACGTATTTATTTTTTTTCTTTTTAAAAGTCAATATTATGTTCCTTTTATATAAATTGTTTACCTTACTATGTTTTTTTTTATTAACTTACAAGTTTTTTTTTTTGGTTGAATTGATAATTGCTAATGAAAACGATGTTTTTGAGAACATTATCAAATTAAATTATCTTTGACGATATAAGATTTGTTGTTTGCCGACAGGCAGAAGTTTTAAATGACATGAACTTAAGTAACAATAGAAATTTAATATGTAATTGTTTAATTATAATTTTTCCTCGTTTTGAGGATCGAGCTTATTTAGAGTATATATGTAACGCTTCATCCTTATCTATACTAATATTATAAAAATGTAAGCAGCGGAGCGGTAAAACCGCGCGAGAATAGCTTATCATCTATATTCATAATTACGTCTCAAAGTTGGCCTCTTTAATAACACTTATTTTTTCACATTTCCGTCGTTCTCAACCACAAAACCCACAGTTCAATATATTTACAACTAATTTAACCACAGATTAAACTATTGCGAACTTCACAAAAGTGTTTCGTAATATCCCTCGAGCTCGTGAACTCGGTGACTGATCAAAACTAATTAAAACTGTGCCGCTGGTGCATAATTAACAAGGTTCCTGCTGACAAATCCGAAGCTAAGATTAAAATACTTTGCTAATAAAGATAGGTGATTATAATTATTGTTGTTGAATCATTCCTCCTTCAATCCTCTTCATTGACAGATGAGCGTTTCGTTATAAGTAAAATTGAAATTTAAGATAACCCAAAATTCAAGATAAAATAAGTCAAATTTACATAAAAAACTTTTTCAAATCATCAATTTCGATTCATCTATTTAATTTATAATTTACTGATAACAAGATACGTGTTTGTTATTGCCTACGACAACGTTTGAAACTAACATAATATAGAAGTCATTGTTTGAAATGGATACTGTGCCAACAAAGTGTAAAACACATACATGGAATGACTATGTTTAACACGTTAAGCGCCATGGGGAGGATTTGACTTCAACAGTTTTCTGTCGGCAGTCAAAGGCTTAAGCTTCTGCAAAGCAAAGGTAAAAATAATTCTATATTAACAGTGTTTATGTGCCTGCCATACAGGTCCAACTTCTAATTATGTAATAAGTACCCAATAATATAATTACATCATTATTATGTGGCTTATACATATGCAGTTGGAAACCTATTGTTTTTTATTGTGTATGGAATTACAGTAATATTAAAACATCTGCGAATGAGCTTTCTTTATTACAGCCAAAGAGATTAAAATTAACCAGGATAACGGACGGCTCCAACGTTATTTGGCAATTGCAAGATACTACAAGAAAACCAAAGAAAAAAATTAGACAGATATTGAAATAGGAGCAAATTAGGGAAATAATGATTGTAATAACAATATTCAGTTTGTAGTTTGAATAAATGTCGTTTTTTTATTTAAATGGTATGGAGGCAATAAAATGTTTTGTTTTTTTGGGCTACTTAGCATGTTTCGAACAGTTGTAAAATAAAACAATTTATTATTTTTTCGTTTTATTATTTTTCATAACATTTATTAGAGAACTAATATTTATCATTCATCGTTCATTATTGCTCTGCATCTTGATATCATCATCCATTAGTGTAAACTGAAAATATAAAGAACTTTGAAGTAAAGACAATAAACAAAAAAGGAGAAGGCTTCCTTTAGTAAATGTACTACTAATACTTGGATGATAATGGTAACATAGGTAAAATATTCTGCAATCAATTTGTATCTTTCCATAGAGTTTATCGTTTCATCAATATTACTTGTTACTAAAAAATGATATGGAGCACTTGTGTAGCCATTATAACAGCATGAGCTCGTAAGGGATTTCGGCGCAAAGTCAATGCCACCAAAGGAAATCGCCGTTTCCACACTTCGAAACATCTAAAACCAAATATATAAGTAGATAAACTATTTCCTTGCTGCAGATTAACGATTAAATTATAAAGTAACTGCTCAGATAATTATTTATCGAGTCGATATCTTACTTAATATTCGTAAGAATCCAGCAACGCTAAATAATCCACTCTTTCTTTATAATATTTTGTCTTGCCTATTATTATTATCTTCTGAATCGGTTTCACTGGAGTTGAATATAATAACAAATACTTTTTTATCACTATCTGAACTTGACATTTTTAGATATAAAAGCGAAAACAGTGAACTTGCTTTAAAAATTCTACTCTAACCGATCGACATCGGCACGTAACCAAATGATATTACGAGTAGTCATCTTGACCATCTACCGACGGCTAAACTATTTATAGGAACACCATAGACTGTCATCTATACTTACCGATACCCTCCCATCCGTTAGTTGCAAGCCGTCGGTAAGTTGCACGACGAGACGTTGTTTATAGGAACGGTTTTAGCTTACGAGTCGTATATAAAACTACTATTCGTAACTAAAACGGATCGTTTCTCAATTATAGGAACCGGGCATTAATGGATAGCAACTCTCACCACCCTTTGGATCGAGGGGACAGCAGGGCAATTGCAGGGGAGTTCAATTGCGATGCGACATTTTGGAGTCGTTTTGGAGATTGGGGAAAGAGACGAAAAAGACTGGGCATCCAATAACCTCTCTTACGCGACAAAACACTATCCACGTCGATTTTCTATGAAGATGTGGTATCTCCGATCTAGCCGCCACTTTCCTACATACGTTGGCCTAAATAAGGATTTTCTCCTGTGTCGTGACTCACTCCTGAGAACACAAAGAGCAGCTCCGTGCGGAAAAATGAACCCACGACACGTTGCGCGTCAGCCGGTTGCCCAGCTTTTTTTTTTTGTGAGGGGAAAATCATCAAATGACTTCTCCCGCCCAGGGCCGGGCAGGAGGGAGTGTCAGACTCTTACTGACTAAAAACCCCCCTGTTCCTTCTCCTGCTCTGTGCCGAGGTCGCGGTACCTCATTGCGCTTACCCCGCAACCCCGGCTGAAAGCCGGTTGCCCAGCTACCGCGCCAATTGTGCACTCGAGCTAGTCAAACCATGATTTTACCATGGTTGTTTTTAATACCATGGTTTAATATTCTTATCTATGATATTGTGTTATCATTATAACCTGGCAGTGGTCATAAATCAGTAAATAAAAATGTATAATACTTATTAACTATTATAAAATAAAACGACAAAAAATCACATGGTGAAAGCAATTTATTACATTAAGATATACTGGGATATTAATTATGGCAATATAATATTATGGAGACGGACACTTGAGAAAGTCTTTTACATAATGACTACAAACTGGCAACTGGCATTGTTTCAGTTTAGATTTGTACCAGTTAGTCTTCGTAGATACATATATGAAGACATCCATTTTGGCGTAGTGCCAAGGAAAATTTAAGCCCCGGCTGCATTAAGGCAATATCCAAGCAGTTTTTAAACGTGTAATTTTTGGGGACACATTACATCCTAAGCCTTTTAGTGTCAACGGCTGAGCATAGACATGTTCTCACACGGAGAAGTTTTGAGCATTAATCACAACGCTTGCTCAAGGCTGATTGCCAATTCAAACTTATAAATTATACGTCCAGGTTGCCTCGTGATGTTTTTCTCCACCGTATGTCTAAATAATCTTGGAAAGTTCATATTACTCAGAAAAGGCACAATGGTAGCAGGTGACGAGCCTACACCTTCGCGCATGAGAAGCAGGTGAACCTTCCGGCCATCACGATATGTTTTGGAATAAGAAGCTGAATACAAGTAGCCGCACTTGCAGTTCAATCCCACCCTTAATTTAAATACAATAAAATGTTTGGCGTTTAAAAACCACCATTAATGCAGCCGGGGCTTTAGATGTGATTTCTCGCAAGAATTATAAGAAAACACAGAACAAACCGAACATCAACCACCAGTTACCAAACAAAACTCCAAATCTTTAAATCTACTTAGTTCTTAAGTGAACTGACATCTTCAAGCCAATTGGGCCATCTTCTGATCTCATTGTAGAGCCTTCTTCCAGGACTCTGAGTGGCAATGAGCTGACGATGTCCAACAATGTGGTAGTTGGCCGTCAAGTGACCTCGTTCCACGCCACAACGGAGCAAAGCCTTCAATGCATCCAACGACGCTTGGGTTGGCGTGTCATCTGAAATAGACAGATTAATTTGTGAGTTAGCGAATTTGTGATCAGGCTTTTGTTTCTTGGATAATACGGTAGTTTCCAAGTAGGTAGTCAATATCGATACTTTTAAAATCTTAAACGATATTCTCCTACGAAACTTGTATGAAATCGTAAGTTATGACGTTATAGCATTTTTGTGATGCTATAACGTCATAACTTATAGCATCACAAAAATGCTATAAGTTATAGTAATTTTAAAATTACGGCTACAAAAAGTAGGACAATTCAATGAACGAGAATTATTTTTCAATAGTCGAAATAATGATTGACTAAGAAAACTATAATTTTATTCAGTTTTTGTTTGTTCATTTTAAGGCATCATCGTTGATGTTTGTGACCGTCGATCAATAGGACAGTGTTAGGACTGTCCTATTGATCGACGGTCACAAACGAAAAGAAACTCGACCTTTATTCCAAGAAGAGGCAAAGTATTGATGGGTTTTCTGAAAATTCTTAAGAATAATATAAACAATGGCTACAGGTTTCCTATGACACAAAATGGATCCCGGGGTTTAAAACACAACAACGCCAGCGTTGAAAGCAATAAGTCGGCTAAACTATAATTGTAATATTGTAGCTATCTGTCAGTGAAAAAATTTTGGAAAACCGACAAGAGGTTATCCTATATAGTATTACTATCTTTAGCTAAATTGCTCCTAACGTAAACGGACTGATATTATTATAAAATTCTAAAAACGTTTTAAAAAATTAAGCCAAAAAGTACTTCCATTTAGATATGACTGCGCAAGTAATAGGGTCAGTTTTCGCGTAACTATTTCCATTTTATGTTTTTAAAAAGGATACATTGTTGATCTTACATTACCTAGGTACAACTTTATATGAAACTTTTCCTTACTTTAGCTTCTGTTAGTACGTTATTAAAATATTTTGTGCTTTAAAACAACAGTAAATTCTTTATTTGACTTTTATGTCGACGTACACGTTCTAAAATCAATGTTCGAGAAAAACAATATGAACAGATTCTTGCAAGTGCGGAAAGGTCATACAAAGCGAGATCATTACAACCTGGTATCTTAGCTTAAGTGTTAGTTGTGTGTACCTTTTATGTAAATAAATTACTATTTAAATTCAATTTGACATAGTCATATATTTGTAGAGTCTCGGAGGTTAAGAATAAATATCGACGGTACGAAACCTGGCCAAGTACCAAAACAACTTTTTCGAATTATATCATATGGTACGTACCTACTTTCTATATTTAGTTACACGCCACTAAGGTAAGAGACGCCAGTCGTTAGAGACCACGTGCCAAAACCTATTTTTAATTCATCAAAACCCAAGCGATGGCCAATTTCTCGCACCTATTGTTCTATTGAGTCTCAAGTTACCACAATTAACAGGTTAAGTTTGAAACTGATCAAAATTAAATGACTTCTCTTTGGCTAATGACCACCCCGTTCCTTTTTTTACTTCGGGCCATGGGCTCGTCTGTGGGCAGGAAACCTGGACTTCTAATTTCTGATTGTAAGTTTAAAATCGTCAATTTGAGCAAGCATATTGATCAGTGCTCAAATTTTCTCCGTGCGAGAAGAGGCCTTTGCTCAGCTGTGGTGTGATGTGGTATATAACTTTTTAATATAGGTACCTTTTTTAATATACCTCTGTAAAAATGTTAATAATTTTACATCCCAAGCGGATGCCTTATATTTTTTATTCATTTTATTATTCACACGGGTGTTCAAGAAATTAATCTCTTAGAACTGATCTTTTCGAACCAATGGAAGAATTCAAGCTTCAATTATCCCGGGTTGTTATGAAATATTATAACTAACGTCCTGACCCGGTTGTGTTTAAGTACTGTTTTCCGAGAATAGGGTGAATTTTATTAATTTTTTTCTTGTAAAAGTCCTATCGTGACTATTATCAAGATTATTTTATTTAAAAAATGGCTCACATTATGAATTTCACATATGATGTGGGTGCGTTTACAAACACATTATTTTGGATAGACATCACACCAAGGCCCAAAACAACAATTTATAGATCACAAAAATAAATATTTTTTGCCAAATTCAAAGTGTTGACATACACAGAATACCTAAGTTATATTTTTATTAATTTCTCATACAATTATGCATATGCTTAATTTGTCTGAAATCTGCTCCAATTTTTATACGACTTTAATACTTCTTCATTACGTAAAGTTGTCGTATATGTATACTTTCTCTGGGTCAAAGCTTAGTTGTTATGAGACTCATCACCTAGTTCGTGATTCTGAATGTAAAAAAACAAAAACTATAATTACTTTTTCAAATTTTATCTATGCTAACACTGAAAATTAGTGTAGGTATGAAATCCTAACCTAATGACCTAACCTTTTAAAAAGGTTTTAATAAATTCCTCTATAGCTTTAGACCAATTTGAACAAATTAAAATAGACTCACTTAAACTAGTAGGTAAGTCAACATTAAATGTGCACATTAATAGTTAATGTTCATTATAGAAATTTATTCTAGAGGAAAGTTGTCTATATTTGTACGAGTATTTGAAATGTATTTTAATTTTATATTATTTGTTTGATACTAATAATATTATAAAGGTTAGTGTTTGGTCTGTGGACTAATTAATTGGTTGAAATTTTCAACATTTCGCAACATGATTTAAATTATAATAGGTAGGTATAATTTAATATTTTACATTGTTTTAATGTTTCCTAAAATGAGGTTTATGCCAAATATAAATCAAATATAACAGTGAATAAATAATGCCTATATTTGTAATTAATTCCTCAAAAAAGTGTTAAGTACCCCATATGTAATTATTCTTTATTTACACCAGGCTATAATATTCTATACTTTACTGTTTAATGGGATATAATCGCGCACGTACCTCCCAACCTTATGAATGTCTCCTATCTCTCCTATCTTAATGTGCATAGAGATACCTCGGAAAAGTCACATTGATGCTTGCAAGGATTCAAGCCTTATTACGCATATTATGCATAGGTAAGAAAAGGGCTTTTTCCATTTCTTTTTTTCATGTAATAGATCGGCAAACGAGCAGACGGAATACCTGATGGTAAGTAATCAGCGCCACCCATGGACACCTGCAACGGAAGAGTTACGAGTGCGTTGCCGACCGTTTAGGGATTAGGAATTTGGAGATTTAGTGATTGACGAGGAATTGGGGGAGGGGAAGGATTGGGCCTCCGCTAACTTCACTCACACGGCGGAACACAAAGCTGTGGTTGTTTCACGCCGGTTTTCTGTGAGGCCGTGGTATCACTCCGGTCGAGCCGACCCATTCGTGCCGAAGCATAGCTCTCCCACACTTTAATTCTGTGATCAATATTAGTATATTATTGAAACCAATTTATTGATACTTACTGTTATAGTTACCAATAAAAGTAATGCCATAAGATCTCCTGTTGTAGCCATAAGTGTGTGCACCAACATGCAACCATCCAGCACCCTCGTACACTTTGCCATTACCACCAATCACGAACCTGCAATGACCGTAATTATTTGTTAAATAGTCAATCAAATTACGCAGAATGTGCAGTTTAAATGAGACGAGACAATGAAAAAAACCACAAACAATTTTTTTTAAGGATTCGTCACTTTTTTATTCTCAACTTGTTTCTATTGCCCTGGGTGGGGCGAGATTGAGAAGCAGATGTTTAACTGATGAGTTAAAACCACGCCGTTCCTTATCCTACTCCAGGACCGTGATCAAAAAATTACTCTATCTTAACTAAAAATCGCGGGTTACTCACGTGTAAATATTGAGAAAAGCTCTACTAGTTTACACTATCTGTCTGTCTGTCTTTTATTCACGCCTAAACTACTGAACCGATTTCTGTGAAATTTGGTACAGATTTAGTTTGGAACTCGAGAAAGATCATAAGATACTTTTTTACCAACAATTTGCCAGAAGTCACTATTCCACGCGAACGAAGTTGCGGGCAAAAGGTAGTTATTGCATAAATCCTTTATATCCCAGGATTCGATTCACCGAAGAAAGTTAGGTAATTTCACTGACAAAAATAACCTATGATTCTATAATAAAAAAAGATTGTTTTAATGAAGATCAAACTTCATTTTCAATCCAAAACAAAGTTATTACTTAAATGAAAACCAACTTGTGTATCCAGCATCTATTTTAGTATGTTATTAGAAAAGTTTGAAAATAGTTGACACACTACACAATAGATGCCAACTTTGGTCATTCACACATATTGTTTGTCGAAGTCTCATATAGAAAAAGTTATTTGATATACTAATTATTTGTTAATAAAGAAGTTGCGTTTAAACTAGACTACACAGCTCGTCAAGTCTGCTAGCTTCATTAAAAATTTCATCAATCATTAATTAAAATCTTAGGAAACATCCCAGGGCAGCCAATAGACCACATGACACACGACCCCGGTCAAGCGCAATAAGGTACGACTTCTAAAATACATTGGAAACCATAAAAATGTCGCTTAACTATGTGTTACCATAATAGTTTTTCAATCGAAAGTCAAAGTCAATGTCAAAATTATTTATTCCAACTAAACCATAAATAGGTACTTTTGAAACGTCAAAATAGAGAAGTAGTATGTCAGTCTGTTCGTCAGTGAAGCTAGGTGCTCATTCCAAATTGTAGATTCGAATGGAGACAAACTAGCAAGAAACTCCATTCGTTACTCTTTTTTTAAAAAAAATGTTTAGGTACTATTAAGAAAAAACGATCGATATTATCCAGGAAACGAAAAAAACTCTTACAATAAGCAAGTCAAACTTCGTAAAGATCTGTCACACGCCCAAACTACCTACCTAAAAGAGTATGTCCTGTATTCGCTCGACCTCGGGTCTCATGTATCCTAACCCAATTTGCCCTATTAGGAACCTGGCTATCCGATACTTGGGACATTATTTTTCAACGATCCCCACTACCTCGTTAAATGTGCTCAAGCTGCAAATTGTAGCTTGCAGCTGTTGCATGTTTACCTTATTAAAGTCTAATGATCAAGTTTTAAACGCATTATTTGAACTCGATTTTTTATGAGCACTTAGTGACCTTGAAACGAAAATTATGGGACGTAACATTATTATATTTACCTACTAGAATACTATCCTAACCATTTAAGTTTTTATGGAAACTGCAACGGATCAGATTAATATCACCTATCATTGAATTACAAATGTGTTGCCTAAGTCTTTAGACCAGGCTTCTGAAAACTTTACTCACATAGCGAAATACTGACAACAAAAGCGTTGTTCCATAAAAAGGTTTTTTATAATCACGTTCGTGTAATATATAGCAATGAAATAAACAGGATATGACTTGGGCTTTTCAACACTGAAGAATGGTGTATCTATACTAATATTATAAAGCTGTGGAGTTTGTTTATTTGTTTGTTTTAACGCAGAACGACTGCTTCGAATTGAACAATTCTTTTAGTGTTTGTTAGTCCATTAATCGTAAAAGGCTATAGGCTATAAAACTTTACGTTACAGCCTATAAGAGCCGAGCAGCGGGTGAAACCGTGCGAGAGTAACTCGTTTACTAAAAAGCTCTGCTAGCTTTTAGTCACACCGGGACTCTTATTCATTAGCAGAGCGCGCATCGCGGCTACGTTAGCGTACAAATAATAGAAGAATAGATACTGATAGAATTAATCTCTACTTACGAGGACCCAATATCCCAATAGTTCAAGTTGTCCATATGGTTCTCTTGAATGTTCCTCACGATCTCAGCACAAGCAGCATCCGTATTGCAAGTTCGAGTGACGGTATGCTGGATGATGACCAGGTCTACTGGCCTCGCCAGGTACTCCACATGGACTGGATTCAAGCCATCCCATTGTTTTTTAGACACTACGTCACAATCTGAAAGATGAGCAGAATATGTTATACCTACAGGACAAATTTAATTAAAGAAAGGAGCAGACGAATCAATGGTCATAAGTGATAATCACTGCCCATGGACATTAAAGGAGTTAAAAGTGTAATGATAGTGGAAATGTTATCACGCATAGCGTTGCGCGCGCGTTTCAAACAGCCAACAGACTACCAGTTAGGTCTGTGGCAGAAGATGGCTGATGTTTACTCGATGTTTCTGGGCAAGGTCAATGAGGTATTGTGGCCTCGGTTTAGAGCAGGAGAAGGAGAAGGTAAGAGGGTTTTAGTAAGTAAGAGTCTGACACACCCTCTCGCCTCACCCCTTCCCCTGGGTGACAGAAGGCATTTGATGATATTCCCCCCACTCAATTATCATCACAAGGAATTAGACCTCCTCACCCATACGGTAAAAAACAACGCAAGTTTTGGTTCACGCTCGTAAAGCCAGCCCATTTGTCTCGAAGAATGGCTTCCCCAAATTTGAAGAAGTAGAGTCATCTCTGAACCGAATCAAGCTGCAATGCAGAAAAATTGGCTTTGCAATGCAGAATTTTGCCAACACTATAAACTACTCTAACATAGAAGAAAGAAGAAGTTAAAGAATAAATCCAAACTAATATTATAAATGCTTAAGTAACTCTGTCTGTCTGTCTTTTCTTCACGCCTAAACTACTAAACTGATTTGTGTGAAATGTGGTTCAGACATAGTTTGGAACTCAAGAAAGGACATAGGATAGATTTTATACCAAAAATCTGCAGAAAGTCATTACTCCACGTGAACGAAGTCGCTGACAAAAGCTAGTATATTATATATTCTCTTCTGTGCTTAATTATTCCTTGTAAGAGATAAATTGTTACTGCCTTTAGAAGAACAGAAAAGGGTTTCTCTTTTTTAAAAAGTCAGTAATATGTTATCTTTCGTATAAAACTATTTTATTCGTAACTCTAATAAAAAGATTTAATAGAACACAAGATACAAATGAAAAGAGATCAAAATTCATTAAAATGTGCAAAGTAATCTGATATCATTGTATTCATAAAATAAAAACAACAACCCTTTACAAAAATAATGAGTTTAAAAGTTTTATCAAAATAGACCAACCATAAGATTAATAATTATAATTTAATTAATAATTTATTGCGAAAATAATTGTAAAAAATAAAACATTTAATTTAATAATCACACAAAAATAAAACAAATGTATAAGATTAAAACTTTGATCAAGATTGTTTTACAAATTTTCTTTGTTTTATAAAATTACAGCCCTGCGGCTGATAGAATGCAAATTAAAAAAAAACACAAATTGAATGATAGTGAAAAAGTTTCACATTCATAGTTAACTCCTTTTTCCAAGACCATTGAACTTCCAAAAAGGTTTCAATTATTTTGTTTTCTTCTTTTTATTTAACTCAATAAAATAAAATACGATATGGTTATTGTTATAGTTTGGACGTAAAAAGAAAATAATTTTAATACACTCACCCCCTTTCACAGCTACTAAAGTAGCAAATAAAACGAAAACTTTAAAAAATAACTCCATTTCTTTGTTTTTATAAATGCAACTTCGCTCTTTGGGTACTAAAATACTACTAAAAGCACTTTGAGACCTAACCAATAAACTTTGTTTAACCGAAGAAGAATCCTCATGCTGTCCTCTTCTAACTTCCTAATGTGTAAATGAGATGGCAATTGTCAAGACGTTGTTTGTAAAATTATTCGTGTATTGCATAGTGGATTCTTTATTTATGTCGAGGTTCCGTACACTTACAATAAAAATACCACCTTTGATTATTATTCTGTAATTTGACTGCCTTGTTGAGGAAGTTTACAGAACAAACTGCCAAGAAATTTTGACATGTTTTGTTTTTGAGGGAAACCATCTAATATCTTCTCTCACCTTTTTTTGTCAGAGGAAAATCATCAAACGACTTCTCCCGCCCAGGGTAAAGCGAGAGAGAGTGTCAGACTCTTACTGACTAAAATCCCCCCGTTCCTTCTCCTGCTCTGGGCCGAGGCCGCGGTGATTCATTGCGCTTACCCAGCAAACCCCAGCTGAAGATCAGCCCTATAGAGCCCCGTCTGTAGTGGTCTCTTGGCTCTTTGAGGCACACGAGCTACCCTTACTCGCCGTCTGCAGACACGCCTGCTCTCACCCCAATTTGAGCAAAAATGGAGAGTATTCTAACTGATAAAAAAAAATCACCCAGTATTCTTTCTCCAGCTTCAATGCAAATACTAATAAAATACTAAAGAACACATCATACGTTTTTACAACCATCACTATTATAAAATTACCATTATTTAAAAACACAGAATAATTATCACATATTTTCCATTAAGCACCTTCGCCATTATGAAGGCTTTCGCTTTGTCCCAAAATTTCTACGAACTACGAACTCGACTATAAATGGGGACAAAGTTTTCAAACATGATGTACTCGTACCTGGAACTTCATTAAGCACTTGAAATTCAGAACAAAGAAAAATATGTTGGAATCAGGTGTCAAGCTCTTTTAGTGAGAGATTTACATGGAATTGCCCATCATATGTATTTTATTTTGCCATGTATATAAAGTCCAATGATATAAAACAGGAGAGGAGATTAATTTTGTTGTACTAACCTAAACAGCCTACTCTTTCTTCAAGGTTGTTACTATATGATCAGCGTAGACGATATTCTGCCTCTTGAAACACTACACAAGGCTAATTAAATTTGACCAATAAAGGAAATGTTTAAGATCTACCAAGTAAAATACTTAATACTTAGTTTACCAAGAAAATAAACCTATTGTCATGCACTAGAATTTCACGCTCCGTGTTATTAACTTGAAACACTGGCATTTGTACCTTTTGTACCTCCGTGACAAAAAATTGAAATATTTCATGCGGCCTCACAGAAAAACGGCGTGAAACAACCACAGCGTTGTTTCGCCATGTGAGTGAGGTTATCGGATGCTTAATCTTTCCGCTTCCCCAATCTCTAATCCCCAAAAGATCGGCAACGCTCTTGTAACTCCTCTGTTGTTGCGAATGACCATAGGCAGCGCTGATTACTTATTATCAGGTAATCGGTAAGCTAATTTGCCGACATTTAAAAAAAAAAATATACAACCTCCCCGATCAGCCGTCGTTGACCAAAGAGTCTACTATTCATATATCTAACAAAAATCGTATAGCTAATTTCAGACTTCATCTCCGGGGAATAACAAGTGGTTTTAATTCTAGTCAACGGAACCCCAATACCTTGAAAGCATGCCGATAAGTTAATTATAAACTATTGTCGTTGACTGGAAACGGGGATTCCTTAGCAGAATATATATAAACATACGTTTATCTCTAAAATACAGTATGACACTGACTTTGTAAAATATAACAGTTCTAGTAATTAAATAAACAAACCGGTTGCTGCTTCAGTTTTGTTTTTCGTTCATAGATTTTGAATCTTATTGCATTGGAATAGATAATATATATTTTTATAGTGCGTTACAATAAGTAATGACGCTTGTTGCACCACCTTCATAAAGTTTCTTATAAACTCATGTGGTATAATTATACATACAAATAACGTTCTATATTCAAATGTATCAGGAATACAGCGGCTTGTCAGACATTGTGAAATGGACCCTTTGTGTATTTTATTAAGTGTATTTTTTCTTGATACTAGATCGAGGGTCCGTTAAAATGTACCTTGATATAGCGATCAACACTTTTTAGCCTCGCATTTAGGACCCCTTCCAAAAAGAAGACTAGACTGTCACTGAAAAAAAAAACTAACCCACCAAACACCTTCAATTGATTTTCGACTTTATTGAAACTAAGTACTGATTGGAATAGATTGGAATGCTGATTAACAAAGTTAAACATTAAAATAGAAACGAGCTTCAAGTCAGTTTACAATACATCTAGTCAGGGGTGTCTTTTTAAGGCTGAAAATAAACTATTAGATGATTTTCAGCTCATAAAAAAAATATTTCTATATATTAAAAAAACAGATTCTGCCAGCGACTTCACCCACTTACAGAATGAAAAATGGTCTCTTACTAGACTACAATCTACCTATGTGCCAATTTTCATCAAAACCTTTCCTTTCCTTTTGTACGTGAAACAGTAACAATCATCTTTAATATTAGTAAGAACTAATACAATTCTCAAAACCTCTATCTACGTGGTAATTTTGTTGAAATAAAACAAAAACTAATCAGTAAATTAATATATTTCAAACGATGTTGTACCAGTGTTCACCTACCTGTTCGGGGAAAAACTTACGCAAATATGTACATATATGGCATACTAATCCTTCCCCTCCCCTTATCCCTAAATCTCCAATTTCCTTACCCCTAAAAGGTCGGCAACTCACTCATAACTCCTCCGTCACAGGTGTCCATGGGCGGCGCTGATTGTTTACCATCCGGTGGTCCGTCGAAAAACTATATCTACTATATCCTTTGCCTACGTCTTTGCACAGACCATACACTTATTTGGTTAGCAGGTACGAAATAAAAGATGTCCAGGAATGATGTAGCGAGATTCCACTTGGAGTAGAAAAAGAAACGAAATGGCTTTTAATCAAAGAATATATCGCTACAACAAAAACAAAGCACGCAATTTGATGAGCCTATCACCACGTTGGCTGGACAACCCGATACAACTCTTTAGGTGACCCAAATATTTTTGGTCCAGGTCTTTTCTTTTTGTTTTTTTTTTGTGAGGGGTAAATCATCCGCCCAGGGCCGGGCGGGGGGAGTGTCAGACTCTTACTGACTAAAAACCCCCCTGTACCTTCTCCTGCTCTCGGCCGAGGTCGCGGTGCCTCATTGCGCTTACCCCGCAACCCTAGCTGAACATCAGCTCTATAGGCCCCCGTCTGTGGTGATCTATTGGCTCTTTGAGGCACGCGCACGCTCCAGTCTGGTTCTGGTTGGGCGGCGAGTTGCCCTTACTCGCCGTCCGCAGACCTGGTCCAGGTCTGGATGTCTTGTGTATAATGTATGAACTTGTATGTTTGTAAAGGCATCCAAGACGCAAGAGAAAAACAAAGCGAGTAGAGCAACGCTTTAAAAAAAAACAGATTTTACTCCCCTTTATGAGGTACGAAAATATCGGAACAAAGTATTTTAATCATTGTGTGGCTACTGGGTCGAACTTAACAATAGTTACAAAAGAAATGGCCTCATTAAAAAACCATATAATTTCTTATAACAATAGGTACTGGTTCTTTACTGAGCCAATATTAATATAATTATTACCTGCATTCTGAATAAAGGTTCAGATAAATGTACATTTTTTTTTTCTCTTTTGAAGATTTTGGGTTGGTTATCCATTTACAATACATACTTTGTGTTAATACCTGAGTTTTCGTCAGATAAGTCATTATATAATTTCCTCGTAAGATCTAGTAAGTGCTAGGATAGCTTTCTAGCTATCCTATTGCACTTAACTAGCTGACCTAGAAAGGTCAGCTAGTTAAGTGCAATAGCATACCGCGGCCTCGGCCTAGAGCAGGAGAAGGAATGAGTTGGTTTTTAGGTAGTAAGAGTCTGACACTCAAATGAGCTTGAGGCTCATTTCCTTCAATAAAAGTACTTACTAAGTAGATCTATTGCCATGCACTAGTCAATGTCACCAAATTGTACATACGTTTAAATTGAAAACCCCAATAAGTTTTAATAGCACAAAAATAAAAATGTCCTTTTTCTTTGTCCTTTGCTTGCGATAGTTTAACCAAGAAGACATTTTTTCTGGCCGGTATTGTCTATAAAATATATACCTAAGATTTCCAAAATATGAGTGCTGAAGTGACGGTGTAGCCCGGTGGTCAAGTCGCCCACTTATGCATGCAAGTTCGAAATCTAGGTATCGCCTAGCAAGTAGACTAGTCCAACTTTTACCGAACTAAATGTACCTCCTAAGATTATTTAGACACCATTTAAATACAATGATATAAAACACTGAGAAAACTTGCACTTATAATTTGTAATTATCAGTTTAAAATCGGCAATCAATAAGTGTGGGAGAGCCAATGGGTCGGCTCAACTCGGTTTGAAACAACCACAGCATTATGTTTCGCCGTGTAAGTGAGATTATCGGAAGCCTAATCCCCACCCCTTACCCCATCCCTTCCTAATCCTTAAATATCCGAAACCCTTATCGCCAAAAGACCGGCAAAGCACTCGTAACTTCTTTAGTGTTGCGTGTGTCCATGGGCGGCGCCGTTTGCTTATCATCAGGTATCAAGTGTCGGAAAGCCAAGCTTGGGTCGCAAGTCGCAAGAATGGGTTGGCTCGCCCGGAGTGATACCACGGCCTCACGGAAAACCACAGCGTTGTGTTACGCCGTGTGAATGAGGTTACCGAAGGCCCAATCCTTCCCCTCCCCCGATTCCTCCCAATCCCTAAATCTCCAAAACCCTAATCCCTAAATCCCTAAAAGGTCGACAACACATTCGTAACTCCTCCATTGCAGGTGTCCATGGGCGGCGCTGATTACTTACCATCAGGTAATCCTCTGCTCGTTTGCCGACCTATTCTATAAAAAAACCATCTGCTTGAATACCGACATATCCCATAAAAAACTGAATGATGAATGATCGCAAAATTTTGATAATATGTGTACACACACACACACACCTCTGCTTACCCTTTAGTTAAATGTATTTCAACTCAATACTAGTGATGCGATCATATCAACATCAGGAACGCAATACAAGAACCAGACCACTATCAGCCATGCACTTTCCGGTCAGGAGGTCAACGTATGTTGTATCTATTGAGAACAGATAGACATATATAGTTACCTACTTGTATTTATATGTATATATTATGTATCTACTTTAAAACGCATATACATAGTATCTACTTCTCCATCTGATATTTACGCTATTGGGACATACGCAGACAGACGTTTTAAGTGTGAGGTGGTGTGAGAGAGCCATGTTTCGGCATGAATGATTGCACGGTTGGCGCTGTGACTGGAGAACTGGCTGCTGTGCAACGTGTCGCGGGTTCGACTCCCGTACGGTACAAAAATTTGTGTGATCCACAAATTGTTGTTTCGTGTCTGAATAGTTTGTGTATACAATTTAGTAGAGATAATCCAAGCGTGGGGAAACGTTTTCGAAAAAAAAATAAGCCGTCTCAAACGGAGTGATACAGCGGTAAACAATCTGCTGTTTCGCCGTCTAAGTGACGAGACTAGACCCCTTATCTCCCCTCCCCAATCCCTAATCACTCTACGTCTATCCTCAAGCCTCTGACTCTTAAATACCCAGAACTCCGACATCACACTTATAACTCTTACGAAGTTGTGTGTCTTCATGGCCAAGGCCGCTTACCAACAATTGATCTGCTCAATCCAAACTAATATAATAAATGCGAAAGTAACTCTGTCTGTCTATCTGTCTGTCTTTTCTTCACACCTAAACTACTGAACCTATTTGTGTGTTTGGTACTAACGTAGTTTGGAACTCGAGAAAGAACATAAGATAGTTTTTAAACCTGAAAAAAATCTGCAGAAAGTCACTATTCCACGCAAATAAAGGTAGCGGGCAAAAGTAGTATAAAATAAAAATTAAACGACTGATTGAAACGAACGGAACTGAACGGAAATAAACTAGTAATAGCACATTTTTCTGAACGTTCAATCTTCAATGTTATTTTTCTGTCTTTGAGGACAAACAAATAACAGTTGTTTTAACATTAGTATCTAGTATTATTATATATTTAGTAGGTACTTATTATTATTAGTGGATGAACGAAAATGTCCATCAATTTTTTTTATTAAACAGTGGCGTAGTTAAACATTTATTTTGGACTTATTTGTTTTTGGGGGGAGTATCATCGAATGACTTGACTTAGGGGGAGTGTCAGACTCTTACCAACTAAAAACCCCCTGTTCCTTTTCCCGCACCCTGGCTATTTTCATCATTATCAGCCTATAAGTGCCCACTGCTGAGCAAATGCCTCTTCTCACACGGAGAAGGTTTGAGCATTAATCACCCTGGCTATTTTGGATTTACTTATAATAATAAAAGAGTTAAGTTTAAAACAAAGTTTTAGTTTATTAAACTTCAATACATTACATTTACCTATGTATTTAAAAAATTTTTTCTTAAGATAATTTTATTATTGTACTTAGTACCATTGAGTTTTTTTTTTTCTAAAACATATAAGTACATCATAGGTCAATACATATTAGTTTTAATCTATAGAAATGTCGCAAAAAACTATCTTCATCAGTCATCCAATTGACGGCCTAGACCTTTCTTTAAATGATATCGCAGTACATCTTTAGAAGCTTATTTGTGATGTCGATTCGATTTCTATGCAGCAACTTGGTTTCCTCGATTATTGTTTCAGCCTTTCAATCAACAGGCTGAGTATGAAACTCATCCATTAAGTTTATGACTAGTCGTTCAGACTGTTGGTTGAATGGCTTATTTAACTAGTTGCCTTTGTCATAGAAACCTAGGGCATTTATTTTCATTTTTAAAATCGATGATATGAAGCACTTTTTCTCAGTCTATATAATGGAATTGTCAGAAAATAATGTTACTCACTACTACTACTACATCAATATTTCTGACCGAAGCTTTAGTTAGATCATTTCTAATTACCTCACCTAAATTTTTCAATGACTTACAGTAATTTGATTTGATTTTATAATTATTACACGTGAATTTTAAAACAACAATCTCAGGTTGAGTTCGACCATGTCAATATCTTGATAAGTACATAAACATTCCTATCATTGGTCATGTCCATCGATTGTTTCAGTAAACCCCAGTAAAGCGTCGTTACTCAATTGTTTTAAAAAAATAGTACATAATTATTTTTTAATTTATACTAAGCAATATCATCTCTAAGAGACAACCATTTTAATAAATTAAAAACAATTCTGTGGCATTGACAATAAGAACTTATTCTAATTGACTGCAAAACGTTTGACGTCATTTGACTAAGAGCTTTTCTCATCCCAGACCAAACAAAATTGTGATTCGTTTCTCATACAATTCTTCTTGTCTTCATAACAACATGGCTTCCTTGATTATTCCAGTCTTGTATAATCTAAGTTACTATATCCTTCTCAGTGTAGTTCCTTATTGTTATACTATTTAAATCCACATATAAATGAGATATCCTTTATAATTTTTCACCTGTGAACAAAAAGAGTACAACATTAATACTAGGCTCATGGTATTTCATGTTAGGACGAGGCCGAACGCGTTAAAGAACGATCAACAACTCACGCCACCTAGGTAAGATGAATTTAGATTTGCGTTCGCGTCCAGCAGGCGCCTCAAAGAGCTACCAGACAACACACACGCACAGATGAAACTAGAGCCGATGCCCAGCAAGGATTATTAATGTAAGCACAAACATAGACTGCGGCCTAGTTCGCAACAGAAGTACGCCCGGTATGACTCCCTCCCGCAACACCCAAGATGTGTTTGTATGGTGACAATGCAAAGACGCTTGGCATTGTCACCATAGAACTCTTATTTTTCATAGAAACCTTACTTTTTTGCATAAAACAACCAACGTATACTCCTTTGTATTAGAACTTTACAACAACTTGCTTCAAAATAAAATAACTTACATACTGACTTATTTAATAAAAATTTTATCATTTAAAAAAGTTACTTAGTGTATTTATGGCGAAGACTTGTTTATTTGAACACGCTAATCTCCAGAACTTTCGATTCAAATTCAACATTTGTTTTGTATTGCTTATTCATTTACCTATCGGAAAAATCCCTAACTACAAAATGATTTATAGGAACTGCGTAATGATCAAACTGCTGGGAATATCTAGTCAGCAAAAAATGCTTTATTTTGCAGAAGCGACTGGCAACTTGGTTTTTCAATTAAGCTTACACCCATAAGACGAAAGCAAAATTTTTATAAAAATATCTAATGTATCTCTTTCTTTATCACAAGGATTAATAATACATTTTAGGGTCAATTAATAATAGAACTTAACTATTACTGAATAAGTATGATAATTATGATTTAGAAATTACGTCTCAAATTGCAAATGAGGTTATCATAACGAGACAAATAGGCAATCATATCAACTTATTTAATGACTCAATGTTATAATATACGGTATATAAATGTAGATTGATATTATAAAGAGGAATCAACCCTGCAATTCAGTGCAGTGTCTTATTTTTTGATAAATCTAATCATCTCCGAAAACAGCTTTACTTCACTAATATTTTAATAAACTCAATATAGTAGATGTTATTTAGCTACTTATTAATGTAATCAGTCTGTCAATGGACAGTCAACCTCTTTATCGTATTTGTTGACTGGCCAATCTTCATCACGAATCGAGCACATGTTCAGATGTGAACATATCAGAATCAAGGTCTGTTTTGAATCGGCTTTCTTGATATCTAATGCAGTTTACATTTATAACAACTTAATAAATACAGTTCAGAAATTGAATAAATCTTAATTAGGCTTTTTCTGAGATGGGTTATTCATGAAATAGCTTCTCTTGCCTCAAGTAGAGCGAGAGGGAGTGCCAGACTCTTTCTGATTAAAAACCACCTAGTTCCTTTTTGCGCTTGATTCCCAACCCCGTCTAAATACTGACCTCGTTGGGCCCTATTTGTAGTGATCTATTGGCTCTTTGAGGCGCGCGCGGCACAATACGCGCCATACTAATTAAAGTAATATTTAGATCTACATTGTAAGTATTTATTAAGCACTTAATGGCAGAAACTATATACTACTAGCTTTATGAAAAGATTTTTCTTGAAGTCGGTGGAGAGGGATACATATTCTTACTGGCTACTATACCTGTTCCAGGCCAAGGACGTGGTACTTATACATTATTGCGCTCGCGTTCCCAACCTCAACTGAACTACAGGGCTATCTACCACAGTCTATACATACTTATTTTAATAATCATATGTATGAAGTTACAGTCTAAATATTATAAATAAAGGGACTTTTAAAATCCTTTTAAAATACCATTATCATAATGTTTAATGTCTTAATGTCAATGAAAAGAGTTTACTGATGTATTATAAACTATAGAAAGGTATGCTTAAACACATATCATATGAAAAGACAAATTATTACGTTACTGACAGACACAATTCACAAATTCACCAAATATTAATAAGGTAAGTACTGTAGCAAAATAGAACTTATTACTCAAAACAAAAGAAACATTTTACATTACCTGCTATATACAATAGTAAAAGAAAATCCATCATCAACCACACCTCCTCTTCTTTCTAGACCTCACATCTTTAAAGAAAATCCTCTCGAACATTTGCCAAACGATAGAATGCCTTCTTTCAAACGGATTAGGATACATTTTATTAAAACACTATTAAATTAATAACTAAACTATGAAAACGACGTTGTTCCCTCGAGTTTCGAATCGTTGTAAAGAAAGGATATGGCACTGAGCTAGTAGTTGATAAGAAATTGATATGAATATACATGACGAGACTGACAAATACGGGTACAATATAGATAAACAGTATCGCTTGGAAAGGGGACGTGAATTAATTGATCTATCAATTAATAATTAAAATTAACTGATTTTTATATTTTATTGTTCTTTGTTGCATCTAGTTAGGTTCTCTTTTTTACACTCATTCATACAAAAGTTCCGTTCAATGATTTTTAAATTAATATAATATTTAAAATTGTTTTGATATTTCGTATTTCGAATGTCCTTTATATAAAGTAAACATAGTTTACGTTTTTACTTTGTATTTTTTTTATTGTATGTGTCGATAAAAGTTCCTACGGATCACCTAAATGCGCCGCCCATGGACACTCACAGTATTGACGATTTATATAAGTGCGTGGTCGTCCATTTTGGAGTATTTAGGAATGGGAAAAGAGGGAATTAGGCATTCAGCAGCCATACTAACACGACGAAACACAATGCAAGCATTGTTTTTCGCCAAATTTTCATATTTTCGATTTCGAAAATTAAACAAAAATGTCCTGTCTGTCAGACAAACTATGGCTAGATTCGTGGCTAGATTGACTAACCACTCTTTGCTCTTGTCATTAAAATATTACAATACAAAATAAAAAAGTGGTATTTAGAGGAGGGGCATAGACAAGTGAATCTTTAATTGTTTTAGAATTTTATTCTTTATTTGATCGACTGATGCTGATAACTAAACCCCTTCACTATACCGGAACAAAAATATATTATTAAATACTATGTATAATAATTGAAAATAGAACACATTAAATGAATTTAAGCTGAAGTAAAAAAGAACATTAATTATAGATTTGCTTCAGCGACCATTATTATTATCAAAAATCGAAACTAAAAGTGCCCAATCCCCTTTGTTACCGATATTTTAGATACAATATTAATTTATTACTAAACCTTCTTATTAAATATAAACGAACGGTACTTACCCTAAAATAGAAAGATAGTATTACACTTCAATTATTGTTAGAAAACAATTAAATTTGACCCAACAAATTGAAGCAAATAGCACAACTTATCTATAAATACTCGAATATCTTCGAAAATGGCGAATTATTTGAAAAATAAAACCAGGAAAATGATTATTATTTAGGTTTGGGTGTACCCGGCACGTGTAGTTTTACAATGGGTGAAGGTATCGGTACTATTATTAGGTAGAAAGGTACTGGAGTCAACAAGGTCTTTCATTGGCACACTTCATTTATTTTGTACACGTGGCTTGTGGACTGGCCCTGGAAAACTTTGAGTGACTCTTTCTGACAAATAATTTGAAGAAAAATCATAAATAAAAAAAAACAAGTTAAGTCATTGTTTTTATGGAATAAGTCTGCAAACGAGCAAATGGATTACCTGATGGCAAGCAATCGGCGCCGCGTTGCCGGCCTTTTAGGAATAAGGGTTGCAGATATTTAAGAATTGGGATTCGGGAAAGATAGATTTTTGGACCTCCGGTAACCTCACTCACACGGCAAAACACAACGCTGTTGTTGCACGCCTTCTTTCTATGAGGCCGTGGTATCACTCCGGTCGAGCCGACCCATTCGTGCCGAATACATACACAACGTTAAACTAAACAGACATCTATTCGGTAGTGAACCAGCCCTTTATAGAATGTTTTGTAGAATGAACTTAACAAGTGGCCTATAAACAAAACTTTTTGCCAATTAGTAATATTGGAGTAAAGGACGATCCCTTAATTGGCTAAATAAGTTACTACACAGCGGTCGGTTTTTGCTAGTAAAATAAGAACTGGGGAAAACATAAAAGGCTGCGTTTTTATCAAAAACTCTAGTTAATCTAGTAGTCTCTGAAAGTCTAAAAACTCTGGGACTTCATCAACAGCGTTTAAGTGCTCACCGCTGAGCAAAGTCCTCTCCTCACACGGGTAAGCATTAATCACCACGCTTGGTCAAGTTGGGTTGGCGATTTCATACATATGTTTAGATATTAAAGGCCCAGGTTTCCTCACGACGTTTTTCTTCACCGTAGGTCTGTGGTGTCTAAATTAACTTATTCTGTATAATACGTTTCAAAACTGCCTCCTCATTCATGAAAAGCGTGCGCCTCAATCTTCGGGCCATCACGACGTTTTTTAACTTTCGAACTTATTAAAAAAATATCGGGACAAAGTTTAACTTTTTTTAAATCAAACCTTTTTTTAATTAAATTAAATTATATTTAAATTAAATTTGAAAAATATTTTTGGTTGTCTTTGTATACTAGATAATATTTTTAAGGAAAATAAAAATACCTATATATGATTTTATTAATACTAATGTTTTATTTATTTAGTCCGCATACACGAGCCGTATGTCTACTTACTTTATTATTGAAATAGCAACACTTATCGTTATACACACGCCACGCCTTGTTTATCGACAAATAGTATAATTCGAATTCATATTACATTACATAAGAAATATTACAACAATTGCGAATTGACCTCTTATAGAGAACTCCACTTAAACGGTTCTGTACAATATTTTTTTTAATAAACAGTTGTATTTTATTCAAGTCTATTCTTCCATCAGTTTCGAAAGTTTTTTTTTTTCTTGAGTGGTGTTTGTCATCAAAATATGTATATCAAAAGGCCAGCAACATGCTACCATATCCTTCGGTGTTGCGGGGTCCTTGGGCAGCGCTTGTCATCAGAAAACGTAGCGAAGGCAAACCTCCCGCTAGGTAGACCGTCGATAGATGAAAGGATCTTCAGGGTCGCGGGTTAGCCAATAGATCACCACAGACGGGGCCCTAAAGGGCTGATGTTCAGCCGGGGTTGCGGGGTAAGCGCAATGAGGAACCGCGACCTCGACCCAGAGCAGGAGAAGGAACAGGGGGGTTTTTAGTCAGTAAGAGTCTGACACTCCCTCCCGCTCGACCCTGGGCGGGAGAAGTCATTTGATGATTTTCCCCTCACAAAAAAAAAGGTCGCATGGGTTGCAGATGACAAGTAGTCGTTCGACATGAAGGACTAAGGGTAGACCTTTATTCAGGAGTGAACGTCTTCCAGCTAATGATGATAATGATGATGCTAGGCAAATCTGATTGCTTAGCATTAAATATTTCTTTAAACGATTTGCGTTTATAATAATTACCCTTAGGGCTGATTTTTCAATGGTTAGATAAAAGTTACTTACAAAATAATTGTGATGTCGCGTCGGAATGTATAAGACAGTGGCAGCAACAATTTATTCCTCAGATAACATATATAAGCCCTTACTCAACTAAAGAGTCGGCAAAATTTTCAAATACAGACTCCTAACATGTACATTTTGGTCCAATTCATTAATTATTACGAGTTTTCAAATGCAACGAGATCAGTAACCCTCCGTTCCTATATCCGTATCACGATTCCAAATATTATGTCCCTACAGATAGTGAAGGGCATCAAGGGTTAACGACAAATTATTATAACTATTTGAAATGATGAGTTTTATCACCTAATTATTAGTTTTAAATTACTTCCTAGTTCGGGTACCATTAAAAATAGATGGACGAAGTATGGGCACTTGTTCATGAATTTAACAGAATGCAAAACTGCAATTCCGTTTTATACACAACTGAGGCAGTTTTATCCTAGGTTTTATTGGCTTTTCAAAGAAGTTTCCGGTAAACAAAAAAAAAATATTAAGGAATAAATTTTGTTGATTTTAATACTTGTATAGGCACAAGTATTAAAATCAACAAAATTTATTCAGAAAAAAAAACTAGAAAAGAAGGTTTTAATTCACTCATTTAAGCTTAAAATGTTGTTCTGTGACTAGTCACCAGAAACAAACAACAACTCAATCAACTTCAATCTCTTCAACCATACAAATGCCTACAGTGGGTCATTTTGGCAGCAGTTCTGCAGTCGAATACGAAAACGCCAACCTAATTTCCCTTAGGGTCTATTTAGATGTGTTCGTGTGACGTCACATTACACAATTTGTGGCTGCAATGCGCAACTCTCAACGTTGCAGTCCACCTAACCAGGCGTGCTTGCAAATTCGGCCTATTTTGTAAATAACGAAATACAAATGGTATTTTCGCTTTTTGTATTTTATTCGAATGTAGAACGTTTTGTGACGATAAAATTGGTATTGTTGTTGACATCAGATGTTTTTGTTTGCTACGCTAATTTGCAGAACTATGTACAATTGTACAGTTTGATTTGCATCAGTATATAATATAAAACGACAACTGACGCC